CTTAATTTCGGCCACTGAGCTTTTTTGTTACATACAACGTTGTCCCGGCCGACCCTTCAATTATGGAATGCACAGCAGAAAATAATCATGGATATTAGCAAGAAACATTTAGCATCAGTCAGTGTCATCGTATGTCATAGAAAAACTTTGACTTTCATTTCAAATTGTTAAGTTACCTACCTAGTTGTGATAAATATTGAACAATGACTTATTCAATTCCAGAAAGGGTAGAAATAACAAAACTGTATTACCAAAATGGGAGCATTGCAACAGCTACTGATTCTTTAATACGTTACATCCAGACAAAAATGTTAACGACAAGTATGGGACTAAATTGATAAGAAAATTTGAAGAGACTGGATCTGTGAGTGATATTTGCCGTAATCTTCATCGAGAAAATCGACCAGTTATAAATTAAGCCGCAGGAATAGCAGTTTTGGGACATGTAGCACTTGGTAACACCCAATGCACTCGTGGACTGGCTACTTCAGGATTTACACGCTTAACAGTACAAATAATTTTGAAAAACAATTTTGATAGGAAGTTGGAGTTTTGGGAATTAATGTCCCAACGTTTAATCAACAATGGAAATCTGTTATGTAATATTTGTTTCTTGGATGAGTGTACGTTCTATCTACATGTAAATAGACATAATTGTCGAACACACTCAAACCAACATTTGTTTCGATCAGTACACTCGCAATATCCTGATACAATAAATGTGTGGACCGGAACTTTCGGAAATCATATTGTAGAACCTTTTTTTATTCCTGTAAACTTGACGGACAAGACGTACAATATAGCCACGAATTACCGAAATAATAGAAAATGACGATAATTATACAATTTGCAACAAGATGGTGCACCGCCGCACTATATGCCCCCAGTACGACTGTTTTTTTACACTCATTTCCCGAATCACTGGATCGGCAGATGAGGCCTCATCGACTGGCCACCGAGATCTTCGGACCTAAGTCTTTTAGATTACTTTCTTTGGGGGCATTTGAAAAGTGCAGTTTTTAGTACGAAGCCAGATTCCATTCAAGATCTTCGCCGGCGGCTTACGGCTGAATGTAGACAGATAACTCAATACATGCTTGAAAATGTGATGAATAGATGCGAACAAAACCTTTATTATTGCATGGAAGTAAATGGATACCACTTTCAGCACCTATTACCTACCTACTTCTTTAGGTATAGCAAATTAATTTGTTCTTTAAGTTTAGTACGCGTGTAAACCGTATTTTTTTTAATACTCGGATACGTGTTTCTAATTTTAAAGTAACGTCTTGTCACTATGGGAACTGTACTGATTATTATTTTTACGATATAATCCCTTATTATCATAATTTCTAGAATTTTATTATAAACTCAAATAGGTCCACAACGAAAATACGTATAAACTTTCTTATACAATAGTTACAAAAAACTTCATGGAAAATCTAAAAGGTAGAAAAATGGATCACCCTATATTGTATGAGTATAGGTGAAAAGACGTCCCGCTAGAAATCAAAATTGACGTGTCCGAGCGTTTTTTCCAAAATATTCCAGGACAGTCACAAATAGAGATGCGACATCTTCGTTGGGCCGCCCTGTATTTATGTGAATTTCAATGTCAAAACACAATATTTTAATTAAATAAAACTCTGCATTACTTCACTTTAAAATAATATAAATAATATAAACTAGGAAAAAAGGCAGTCAATCACATGTTTCTGCTTTTTGATTTACGACAATTAGTGACGGAACGTCGTCTATTTTGGGCATCGACAACAATTGTGATCTGACATTGCATTTAAATGATTCTCTGAAAGTGATATAATATTCATTCATTTTTCTTCTGTCTTAATAATGCTATTTGGTTCGAAAAAAATATAATTTAGAACTCTATTTTCTCAGCAGCATCGATTATTTCAATGACATGTCAATGTCTGAAACGCTTGTTAGTTACTTAACACTTTACGGTCACAGCTTCAAATCAATTATTCTCAGAAAGAAAACTACGTAAGCGGGGTTATTAGTAAACTCATTAAAAAAATTAACCGTTGCGTTTTTCTGTTATGTCACTGTCCTCCTGATGAATGGGAATTATCGCATATCAATCCGTACCATATTTTTATCTGTCACGATAAATAGCATATTCCATATGAGGTAAAACGCTAATCAGTGCAACGCATCCATTGTTTTCTCATTGCATTTGCTCTAGTTATCATTTATTTGGTTTTAATATCTACAGTTGAAACTGTCGACATTCAACATGTATAATAATTCAGCGACGATGAAGTAACACTGTTTTAGTCAGCGTTTATATTGCATATGAGGTGCTGTATTTTGATTTCTGTAAGAAGCTAAACTTCTTTCATCTACCCCCACTAATTTTTTACCTCTGTTCTAGAATTCGCCATCAAACATTTTGTGTAGAAATACGGTGTCGACAATTAACATAATTAATATTTGCACATATCTACTATCATACTCTGAGTATGAATTAGGTATTTCCTTTTGACCTAGGAATAAACAATATTTTTCCACACTTCAGCAGGTTTATGTAAATAAGAATTCATCATACATACACTACCGTTAAACAGTATTTGAACACCCAGAAAAAAGGAACCTGACGAAAATATTACAATATCTGTATTTTCTTAATTCTTAACCACATACAAATATTTATCATCAAAATAATCATATTTTTGACTCAAAAATATGTCCTCCTTTACTTTTGATTACAGCCTGACAAATGATAGGTAAACGCCGAACTAATTTTCCTAAAGTGGATGGGATTACTTTTCGCCATTCGTCTTGTAATATTCTCCATAAGTGTTCTTGAGATGTAGGAAAATATTTCTGTACTGGTCTGTCCAGTTCATCCCACGGCAACTCTATCGGATTCCAATCCGGGGTTTGGGGAGGCCATTGCATGACTTTCAAAGCATTTTGTTCTTCTTTTGCTTACAAAAATTGTTGTACAGGGCTTGGATGTGTGTCTGGGGTCATTGCTATGCCAAAAGGCAAACCCCGGACCTGTAAGGCACAACATGATTTTGTAGTATGGCTTTGTAGCCTCCTTTATTCAGTATTGCCTGTACTCCCCTCAAGAGCGGAACTAGGAAAACAGCCCCAAATCATTATAGAGCCTCCACCGTGCTTGACTGAAGCGATGGTGTATGATTCTAATGTGCTCTCGTTAGGCAGACGGCGGATAAATGCTCTTCTCTTGGAACCAAAAACTTCAAATTTCGATTCATCGCTCCAAAGGACCTTCTTCCAGTTAGCAACGTTCCCATTTTGATGCTGTTTGACCCAATTCAGTCTCTTTTTTGTTAGTAGCCCTAAGAAGCGGTTTCGATTCTGCTATGCATCCCTTAAGTAAAGCTTCGAGTAACCTTCTTTTGAGTGTAGTCACACTGACAGGTTTACTATGGCCCACATTATTATGCTGCTGCTATTTCGGGTGGAGTCATGCGTTTACTTTTCACCATTATGCTTAAGTCTTCAATGGAAGTTGTAACTCTGGGTCTCCCTGAACGAAGGCTATTGGATGTTGTGCCTTGAGCCGTAAATTTCTTAATAATGTAGTGTACACATGATAGCGGTCGCCGCAGTAGTAGACTCTTCGGTCTCCTGATCAGTCGCCGTGAGCTGTGCGGGTTCGAGTCCCGTCCCAGGAGAAATGTTTCTCTTGGCTATGGATGTTGTGATTGTCCCTAGGTGGTAGACGATCTCTGACTGTCGAACGTGGTGGTACCACCCGGCGGATCTCGTAGGCGGAGCCAGAATGTGTGCATGTTGCATGCACATGTGTTCCCTCGCCAGAGTCCGTGTGGCGTTCCCCCTTTCCCGTGTATCCCCCTATAGACCCACGGTACCCAATGGGTGTTTAGGCCTTAGGTAAAAAAGTGGTACCATCTGAAGTTCAGAAATTTCTTGAATGCTTTTGCCGGATTTACGAAGACCAATAATAACTCGTTTTATCTCCTCGGAATATTTTTTAGTTTTACTCATTTTCACCATAAAAAAATAAACGAAAGCGCACTTGTTGAACAATCTTGAACTATAATATATAATATATAACTAGGCAAAAACATAACAATATTCTAAAGGCACAAAAAATCCTATTATGACTAATGATCAGATTACAATAATAGTGTGAGCATAATTGTGATTTCAATGACCTTTCGGTGATGATTGATTTCCACGGTGACGGTTTTCAATAAATAAATAAAAATAAATTCGTACTGAATAGTTTTTTTTTGTTTGTTATGTTTTTAAATGGAAATATTCAGGTGTTCAAATACTTTTGAACGGTAGCGGTAGCGTACATAGTGCCACATTAAAGTATGCGAAGACGTGGAAAAATTATTACCTGGAAGACTAATATGCATGTTATCCTGACTAATTTTTTTTTGCCAGCTATGTGGCGAGTAGGCTAGAACAGTTTCTGTTCCGTTAGTTGAAATGTTGGACATGGATTAGTGCTGAACTACAACTTATGAGTTTGGCTTCATAGGACCCCAAGCTACAATATTCCGTGACAATTAAAATATATTATTTTTAATTCTAAGAAGGAAACCGTCTCAGATGCCTGCCTTGATTTTTTATTTTGTTATGCTTTTGATATGTTATTCTACGTCAAAATCTAAGAGACACTTATTTTTTATACTGGCGGAAAAACGTTTTTGAGGAGAGACACTAACCCCCTAAGCTACGATAGAAAGAGGGTACTTTTGAAGCTTCACATATTTGCAGTTGTGATAAACGTATGGGCCAAACGGAGAATATCCATCAAATATATGAAATCTGCATTTGGGGTTATATTATTGGGGTCAAAAGTGTAAAAGTTATGAGAGATGATAATCGCAAAATGTTTATAACAAAAAATCAATTCGTCGTATCTTCATGATTCTAATTATTCTGCATAGGACACTGATAGCAGCTGTCCCGTAATTTCGATCCGGAAAATTCTTGAGACGAAAAGCGAGATAACCGAGGTATTTACTATGGAAACTGACCCAGGGGGGTCAGGAAATGGCACTTCCACCATGGCAATGGAGATGGAGTCGAAGGAGCAGACCATAGAGGAGTTGAGAGCCGAATTGGAGATGGTTCGACAGGAGCCGTCAAAAAAGGACGATAAGAAGACCATTGAAAGATTGATGATGATCATCGAAGCCCAGCAGCGGACAATTACCGAGCTAATAGTTAAATTAGACCTCCTACTGAAAACCCAGGTACCTTCCCATCTATATATTACACATTCTTCCCAACCACTCCAACAAAATCCCAGTAAAGACAAAGCTGTCAATCTTCAGATACCGTTCAATAATTCAAGCGATCTTTCCACAGACGACGATACACTCCCTGACGGTTTTACCAAGGTTAAGCCCCGTAAAACGCGACGAAACAAGACCGACACGACAGGCTTTCCTCCGCTCCCTCCAGCAAAATCGCAGTCTGAAACGTCTCATTCAACTGCAAGCGACTCGAATAAACAGCCTGTGCCCAATCTATCGGTTACTTCTTCGCCTTCGACATCTCAGGTATCAGAAGACACGACTGCACAGCCCCCACGCAAGGTACGTGTTCTCCGCGATGCTTCGAGATGGCGAGGCGTAAATCACAAGTTTATTTCTTTGGGCATCAAATTCGAACGCGCGGTTGCCGTCGATGCAGGAATCAGGATAATTCCCAAGTCCGAGGATGATTACCGCAGGACTATTCGTCTCTTCAGGGAGGAAGAGGTCCATCGTACTTTACCTCTACCCACGGAGAGGAACATTCATGCTGTAATCAGAGGAGTACCTGCGACACTTTCGGAAACGGAGATCAAGGAAGAGTTGCAACAGAGGGGATATTCCCCCCTCCACATAATTCGCTTGCGGCGGCGTGCCCATGCCTTTAGTGGTAGCCATACTGCCCAAGATAGAAAAATCTCAGCAGCTGTTCAACGAACACGAGCTGCTAGGTTTGGCTATCCGAGTCGAAGTTCAAAAGAACTCAAGACTCGTCGGGCAGTGTCACCGCTGAAAAAAATATGGGCATGCGCAATCTTACTGCACTGCACCACCTGAGTGTCTAAAATGTGCTTCTGACCACATGACCCACTTATACCCTCAAACAGAACAAGAGGAACGAAAGTGCGCGAACCGTAGAGGGGGGCATCCAGCGAATAGCCGAACATGCACATTTGCCCCTAAGAATAATCTGCAAGTGATAGCGCAAAGGCGCAATGTAAGTTACGCGGATGCAGCTAGGGATGCAACTCGGGCTGCCCCTCTGTGGGATCTTCTGCGAACACGCAAAATGTGGACCTGGCAACTGCGTTAAGGTCCTTACAGCAAGTTCATAGGACCTCTGATTAGCGCAACACAGACTTTGCAGGCGATCTTTCCTGCAAATGGCTAGGTACAATCGACGACAGTCAGCATTTATCAAAATCCTATTTTGGAATTGTTTGGGTCTAAAGGACATTCCCAAAAAACGGGAATTTCATCAAGCTCTTGTAGAGGAAAGTATAGATGTGGCCTTGCTGCAGGAAACATTACTTAATCCGGGAGATCGTCTAGCTTTCCCGAATTACGATGTTGGGGCTGATAGATTGACTGGACGGGGGTGGCGGCTTGGGAGTGCTAGTGAAACGCGCTATTGACTACCACAGAAGCACAAATGCTGAGATGCAGAGCATCGAAGCGGCTTCCGTGGTGGTCAATATGACGGGAGGTGTGCCGTTAAAAATCACATCGGTGTATGTCAGGTGTGGTATCAGGCTGCAAGAGGCGGATCTGGAAGTCCTTTTAGACTGCTCGGGTCCACTTATTGTGGCAGGGGACTTCAACCGCAAACATCGAGCATGGCATTCCAGGTTGAATTCCACCAGTGGGATCCGACTGTGATACGAAATGGCTACCTCATACATAGCACTGAGGAGCCGACGCACCACCCATTTAATCACCTTCAGGCACCTGATGTCCTTGATTTTGCATTATCCAAAAACTGTAGATACAGTATCACTTCTCGAATCATGTATGACATCTCAAGCGATCATTTTCCCGTCGTTTTGGAAGTGGCTAATGAGCAGATCTTGGGGGATCAAACCCCTCCAAGGAGACGCATTGATTGGGAGCTATACAAGTCGCTCCTCAGAGAGTTCCCCAATATACCGATCATAGATGATGAGAACGGTATAGATGCGGCTCACGCAGAGTGGACAAGTTTTGTTCAGCAAACTCTGCAGCGTGCTGCTGTACTTCCCGTGCAGCGACACGGAAGACCTTTTCTGCCAGCAAACATTCGTCAGAAAATTTCTGATAAAAGGGCTGAAATTAAGCAAGCGAAAAGGTCTTGTCATCCTGATGACATTCGCAGAGCGACAAATCTTGTTCATGAAGTAAGAAATGCCATTCATGAATTCCGCAATGAGCAACGGAACGACTTTCTGGCGGAGATGCTTGACTCAAGCATTCCTCTCTGGAAGGTGGCGAAGTCGCTCAAAAACGGAAAGCATGAACAAATCCCACACATTCACGGTCCTGGAGGCATTGTCTTCAGGACAGAGGCAAAGGTTGAGATTTTCGCCGATGCCATGGAAAGACAGTTCTCTCCCAACTATGATCTTGATAATGACCTTGACGAGGAGCAACACATCGTAAGATCTGTCAGGAGATATTTTAGGGCCAACGGCGTCAGTGACAGTCACGCTATCGTTGGTGATTTTTCTTCATCAGAAGATTCTTCTTCAGAAGCTTCTTCAACCGAAGATGTGCTTAGCACATCAGCGGTATCTCCTGAGATCTCGCATTGCACACCAGCAGAGATTCAAGGTCATATTAAAGACCTTAAAGTGCGTAAAGCACCTGGGGAGGATCAAATCACTAATAAGGCGCTGAAGCTGCTTTTGCGGAGGTCCTTAACTTATCTCGTGGCAATAGTCAATGCCATGCTAAGGATCCAGTACTTCCCATCCGCGTGGAAGACCGCTGAAGTTATAATGATTCCAAAGAAGGTGGGTTCGATATTTCCCCAGGATTATCGTCCCGTTAGCCTGCTGTCAGCTCCGCCTAAGCTCGCTGAAAAGGTGATTCTACGTCACCTTGAGAATTTCTCGTCAGATCACCATGTGATTCCTCACGTGCAATTCGGTTTTCGGTCTGAACATATCACAGGCGGTTAGGCTGGTGGCACGTGTAACCAGAGGATTCACCCTTAACGAAAGTACTGGCATCTTGCTTTTGGATGTCTCAAAAGTATTTGACAAGGTGTGGCACGCGAGCCTCTTGTATAAACTAATCCAAAAGGGCTTTCCCTTTTGGCTTCTAAAACTACTGAAATTCTTCCTTGAAGGTAGGAAATTTCGGATCAAAATTGACAATGTCCTGTCGGCAACACGGCTGATTACAGCCGGCGTCCCTCGGGGTTCGGTCCTTGGACCTATCCTTTACTCACTGTACATTCATGACGTCCCTAGTCCCAGCAACTGTGAAGTCTATCTGTATGCTGACGATACTGCATTGGTGGCTCAGTCGTGGTCTGGTGACCTAGTCCATGACAGGCTGCAAAGTGCGATGGAGGAAGTATTAGATTGGGCGGATCGGTGGCTAATTAAAATAAACCATTCGAAAACGTAGGCAATCTACCGTACAAACATACGTCGCGGCGTTCCGTCTCAAGTTTCAATGAATGGACTTCGTATACCATGGGAATCCTCCGCTAAGTATCTCGGTGTCATTCTGGACAAAGGGATGACTTGGCGGAACCATATGTAAGCGCTAAAAACTAAATTCCAAATTAGGTTTCGACAGCTTTACCCATTATTATGTAAACGTTCAAAATTAAGTTTGAATAGCAAGATTCGACTCTACTTGGTGTTTTATTGCTAAAACACACATGCGAAATCTGCAGGTTCTGCAAAGCAGGACGTTGCGCACTATTGCTGATGCCCCATGGATGTTCTCTAACGAAACTCTACATAGAGACCTCGATGTCCCTTACCTAAAGGACTACATTAAGCAACAGGCGCAGCGGCGCTATAATCTAGCGGAATCGCACAGCAACCCTCTGTTGCGTGAGTCAGTGGACTACACAGTCGAGCAAGTTCGCAAGCACAAAAGGCCGCGGCTCGCACTGTAATCAAAATTAACTCGTGAACTTAGAACAACCAAAATTTTGACACAATCTTTAGAAAAAATCAAATATTTGTAGACCATATCAAAATCTGTGAAGTGATTTTAACTATGCCTAAACGCTGCCTATCCTAAAAGATTCTCTTCTTCCCCTTTGCTCTCGTTCTTCCTTCTCTCCTTTTTTCCTTAAAATTGTCTGGTTTCTGGGTTATCAGACCTGACAGGCTTACAAACTGACACTGTGACTCAAGAGCTAAGGTCCCACGGACCGCTCTGACAATCAACGATGACTTGGATGATTCTAATTTTGAAAAATCAAGATAATGAGCCATTGTGAGCACATACCCAAAGTATCTTGAACCAAGTAGAGGGTTAGTGACACAAGCCTTACAGTCATAAGGAACCGCAAAATGCTAACGTCAATGAGATAAGGAGCTATGTATGGGCTTGTACGTTATGCAGATATAAAAATCATATTTTCAGGTTTCTTGGGCCCACGTCATTATAAGCAACTTTCCACATTATACCATCTTGTTAAACCTCGCTTAAGTCTCAAAAACTTAATGCGACTTGTTAGGTGAGTATTAGTCAATTTATTGTTTTTATTGGCCCACCTGTCACAAAAAAGTTCTTAACTTCGACCCAAAGTCCGGTGACGAAAAGTTTCCTTTTCCAGCGATAGCTGACCTAAATTGTTTTACGTGCAACGCATATCAACTAATGATGCGTTCGTAACGCCAGGTCTCACACCATGACTCAAGTTTTTATCGATTATTGCCCTGTCCTTCTCTAAAATTTTGGGTGTTTTTAAGTAGTGCTATACCAGGTATGTGTTACTTTAAAAAATAAAGGACGTCGGAAAAGAACGGTGAAGAACAAAACTATTGCGTCACCGTGACAGAAATGCTTGCTTTAGTTAAGACAATGGAACTTGCAACATATGTATAAATGTTTCTTTCTTGACGTTTAGGCCACCACAGCAGCATTTTTCAAAGGACATATCAGAATGACAATAGCAATATATTTATCTTTATCCATGTCGATATCGCGAGAAGTCATCATTACAATTTTAAGATGTATCTGCGTAACACCAGCAAAGCCCAAGACCTCCTGGAATAATCATTTCCGGATCCAAAAGACGGCCAGACCACTCAAAGCGACAGGCGAGCTCATTGGGTATCTTTTGGATGCACCAGTCCTCGCCCATCTCCCGAAAACGCCAGACCACTTCAAGAACGTTAATACCCACCCGCATATGTTGTAATTTCTTCTAAGGACGGACCACGCCGCTCTTAAGTGGTTACTCTTATTTTCAAGAATCCTAACCATTAAATAGCAGCATGGATTGAGCGTCATCCCATATGTACAACTGTGAATACTGATAAATATTGTAGGCACGCAAAAAACCTGGGATGATTCAAGGACACGATGCGAAGCTAAAGGGGCTCCTGAAGTTGCTCTAAACAGGCACTAGGCCTAGATAGCAGGCATCGCTACAAAAAAGAATTCAAGAATGAAGGTGGAGCGGAAAGCGGAATAGTGTTGGTGGTACCTGACGTACTCCAATATCTTCACAATGGAATATCGACAGAGCATTTGGATCTGCAGAAAGCCCAGCAGGAGGTACGACAATACTCCTACTATCTGTGCGATGAACCGAACTTTTTTCGAAGGTATACGACAAAAGAGTTGGTAACTACAAACACATAGGAATCATTGGACTGGCTGAAGTGAAACTCACTATAGCCCATACGATCCATGGATTTGTACCTTCTAAATTATCATCTATGCGACCACATATAATCGGCAGTTTATATTGCTTCAGTCGAACATGCAGAAGATTTGGCAAATCGGATATTTGCAAGAACTGAATATATTGAAGTTACTGAAACTTTGGCACTACACTGAGGTAATTCATTTAACTAAGTATTATATATTACTGGAGTTTAGGTTTTATCTACTTTTAGCTTTTTAGTCTCCTATCTTAAGTAATCTACAGGCAAAACTACTTAAGAAAAAGGTTACCTTGGTAATATTCTATGCAATGCACATTTAATACGTCATTGTGTACTTTTATCTAAACGATTTGGTTTTAAAAAAAGTGGTATTTTTTCCATATACCCGTATGTTAAGGTAACACCCTGTATTGTTGATGAAACGATGAACTTTTGTGCACGGTCATCCATACCGTCCTTCCATTATTAAAAATTTTCAGTATTGCCAGTGGAACACGGTCGAGATAAATACTGTTTACTGCGCCCAAACTGAAAATTTATTACTTTAATCCAGAAAGAAAACTTCCAGCTCACTAATTATTATTGCCGATTGTTTTTATTGGAAAATCTGTATCCTTTATCGAGAGCTGAAAAGTTATTGAAACAGCGACGCGCATTACATACCTGGATAGTATGTACGGGTTGTCCAGCTCGGAAAAGTGCTATCTATCAAAGTCGTAATTTGTCAAATGAAAATCATAGTCGCTCTTTTCCTCATTTTCTATGTTAGAGGAAGTATGACTGAGTCATACCTACACCACAGCAATAAGCTTGGTAGTATAGAAAAATGCAACAGTATACACAACAGTTTGGCAGAGTTTAGGTAAAAGCGCTTGGGTTACAAATTCAACCAACATGAAGGCGTTTTTGAAATAATGGATCTATAGTGTATGATCGGTTCCTTGTAAAATGTATCTCAAACTAGAGCGTCCATGATCATAAAATTCACCAATGGACATACATCTGATACAATAACTAGATTGATAAGACAGCAAAAAAATCAGAACTTTATTGAAAATAACAGTGTTTTACTGTTACTGTAAAAACGTGCCCATTTCAGCTGATCTATTTATGCATATTCAGCGTCTGAGGGGTATACTGTGTTAAGTCATATTTTTGTAAAAACAAAGAAAATCACATTACTATCCACTATATTTAATAAGTTTTCCTGTCGTAAGCAGATTTAAGTCCGTAGTTACATAGTTGTTGGAATATATGGCGTTAAGTAGCTTTAAGTCCTACATGCGTTTAGGGGTATATAGTGTTGCAGTTACTAAACGTTGTTTACGACGTAAAATCTGCCAAGGTACTAATATAAAGTTAAGTGCATTTCGTGTGTTTAGCTAGCTAAAGCGTTTGGTTTCTTTTCGTTGATTACAAGAGTGTTTTGTGTAAAAAAAATGAGTAGAGGTCAGCGTATTTGTAATATGATTGTAGAAAAAGAAATACTAGGAAAAAAGGGATTTGCAGTGAAATTTCTTAGAAACAAAAACTTAACCTCAAATTCCGATAAAAAAACGGTAAGTTTTTTAGCTATCACAATCATAGATGTGTTATAAAGACGAACAGTTACAATAATCATGGTTAAATGGTATTTGTTGTTACCCCGTTATCGTAGTTGCAGAAATTGATGATATGTGTGACTTAACTTTATACACATCAAGCTATATTCTTATATTTCCGTGACTTAACATTATATATCTCACGTTGTTACTTCTTTACAGACATTCCCTCACGCAGTCACTAGGAGCCCGATAACTTGAAAATAGGCTACAGCTCTAACTTACCTTTAGAAGTTCTTCCTGAAAATAAAATCCCAGATAAAAATATTTCTAGTATAATGATTTCAAAAGACAAGGATGTAACAGGTATGTCCATAATTATTAAACGACACATTTTTACTTTCTAACAAAGCATACTTCAGGAAAGTTAAACTTATAGTTCCCGGAACAGACACGGGAAGTTTGGGTCAAATAAATTAAATACTGTATAGTTTTAATCTTGTTTGGTGCTTATGTTTCTAGCAAAACATTAACTACTTTGCATGAAGAATTGATTGAGACATCTGCGGTTATGGAAGTCCCTGCCATGACTTCGCACTCCTCTTTAACCATAACACCAGAACAACCAACAGAAGATGAAAGTCCCGTCGATTATTCAGATAAATCTAATATTTTGCAAAATGGCGTTGTAGCTGAGCCAATTCCTGGTACGTCAACTGCAGCTAAAGCTTTGCAACCTTCTATTTTATCACTTGAAGAACAGGAAGATTTGGACTATGACTATGTTCAACCAGAGAGTGAGTCCGAATTAACCACTATTGAAGAAGTAGCTTCCAATAATGAGTCAGTGGAAACACATTCAACCTTCAAGAAAAGCAAAAAATTCAGGAAGAACATGATATTCACTTAGAGGATGCCGCTAATAGATACAGGCTCAAAAAAGTTGACAAAGAAATGTGACGCGCAGATTCATCTCAAAAAGTTTTTATGGTCGACTTAGAAAAGTGCTTGCCGACACCTGTTCTAACAAACTCGCAAAGTTTCTATTCACTTAAACTTTGGACCTTTAACTACGCCAAACATGATGCAACAGACAAGCACACATATTGCTGCATGTTTGATGAGTCTGTAGCCAATCGCGGTGTTAACGAAATGAGCTCTTGCTTACTTAAATCGATTGACTCCATAAATGTACCACCAACTTTAAAAAAATAACAATCTGGTCCGATAATTGTCCATCGCAGAACAGAAACTATGGGATGATTCTGTGCTATTTTATAATTCTTGAAAAATCCCTTCGATCGAAATAGTAGAACAAATTTTTGGTTAGAGGCCATACACACTTAGAGGCTGATTCTTCTCATTCATTAATTGGAAGAGAATGGAAGAGACAAACGCAATTTAAAATCATGGTGCATTGGGACTGGCGACAATTAGTTCGAATTTGTAGCAGGAAAAATCCATTTACCGAAATTTCTATGGAAAAAGGTGATTTTATAAACACTAAAAGTCTTTATGAAGGCCCTAATGCTCCCTTTGTAATAAGAAAAAAGACAATTACAAATTACTCATCTTTAATATCAAACGCCGTTCACCTACAAGTACGATCCCTAACTAAGGGCATTTTATATTTCAAAACATCTTTCAGTAAAAACTTCAATGAAGTTGACCTAAACAAGAATCGTCGATCGATCACTAATATTTCTGAAATCTTACCAAAAGCTCCACTTAAGGGCATAAGTTTACAAGAGTTTAATAACTTGCAAGCCCGACTAAAATGGGTACCCAAAATTGTTCATCCATTTTATCAAAATCTAGACCATTCTGATTAATTACACTGTCTATTAGTTGTTTATGATCTGAATTGGACAATAATTTTGTAAATCATTTTTTTTTTTCATCAATAAAAAATTGAATTTTTATGAGAGTTAAGTTCTTTTATATTAATTTTTTTCTGACTAAAAGAAGTTAAGTCGCACCAAAAGCGCAAGTTGCAAAAAAATAATTGTTTTTTGCATTATTTTCATGCCTGTATTGTAACGGCCACATAACAAAAAATACAAAAAAATACACAAATACTTACGAAAGCACAATAAATCTGAAAAAAAAAAATTAAACGCCTTTCCTGTAAAATTACATTTTAGTGAGTTAACACACTTTACTTCTAAGGCGCTGATGGAGGTGCGGTGCGACCTCTCTGCATAGCGCAGTACGTCTTTATGGGCCAGAGGGGTACGTGGCGATCGTCGGATTTTCACCTTACTTGCATTCAAGCCTTTCCTCTCCCTGGTAAAATAATGGTAAAAAATATCTAGACAAACAATGGATGACATTTAAAATTTTAGCCAGCTAACTTCATTATATCAGTTTGAGAACGAAATCCTTTATTTCGAGATATCTGAACACAAGTGAAAAACGCTTATGCTAGGGTGAACTCAACGTTAATAAATGAAGATATCTAAGTCTAAAGAGACGACTATAGTGATATAAAATGTTATTTGTCAAAACAATGTCCATACATATCTCGTTCGAGAAAATCATTATGGATGTTGCTCATTATATCCTTCGCCATTACGCGCCTCAGGATATGAAAGCACTGTTATGCTAACCATACGGAACCACGAACTCGAACTTGTAATTCAAGAAATTTGACCCCAACCGATCAACCTTTCCAGTAAAGCCATAATCTTCATTTTTATAGCTAATTCAAATTTTGAATGACTCACTCCATATTTCAGCTATGACAAATATTATTTTGTTCAGTTAAGAAATGGGGCTGAAATTTGTTTTTTAGTGATTCAACCGAAAATGATTTTAACAAGGCGCACCAACAACAAACATACTACCCTTCAGTAAAACTCTGTTTCTTATTCCTGTGAAGTAAAACTAGAGAGAAATAATTATTTCCCACAAAATTCCACATCATTCCATTTATGTGTTCCAGCGAACTCCTTTTCCCCTTCTAACGCATCGATCTGTAGACCGGCATGATTAACCAGAAAGCCTCCGGGGTCATAAAGAGCAATTTGTCAAGAATTTGAGGCCATTTCCGAGTTACAGCGTGAATAGCTGGAACTTTTTTTGCCGCCAGGAGGCATAGCAGGCGTACTGACCGACCACACATTTCGTTTGATGTTTGGAACAGGCAAACGGCCAGTTAATCGAATACCCCTTGTTCCGGGAAAATTAAGCGAAAATGTACCTACATCAACATATAACGATATTCCACTCCGTGAACAATAGTAATATTTGAATAAAAATTGGGTTTATTTATCAAAAGATTACGCAAAAAGATAGATATGATACAAGCCGCACAACATTATATGAAATCATGCAAAGATACCGATGCTTGTTAGATGTGAACCGTTTACCAGGTTGTCAAATGTCAAATTTCAAGTCGTGTCATACGGCCCATCCTTAGAGTTTTGGTCATTCGATAAGGTGGAAGATGCGTTTAGATTCCGATCCAAAGATCTTCTGGCGTACATCGATTGGCAGAATAAAATTATTATTGAACAGAACAGCGCTGTAACAATAAAACACTTTTTGACTATGGAACTCTATCCATAATTTCAAGTAAATCCGAAAAATATTTTTTTTATAATCACAAAGCAACTTGACTTTTTAAGATATTTCAATATCGAAACTTCTTCCTCATTCAATCAACATTGCAGCTAAATGCTTTCTGATTCACTTCTGGCATTCATTGAACTATGATGCTTTGTTTACCATGAGCTGTTCTGCCACCCAGAAATTGAATGTTTTTACTGATGGATAAGAAAGTGAAAATAAAAAATAGTATTTGTTGAATCAAAATATGTTTTCACATTTTTTTTCTATATCTATACACATTTTGTTAAATAGGCGCATTTGGTTGCATTTTAAAATACAATTATTTATTTAAAAATAGTTTACGACTGATTGTGTTTGTTAAGCGGTATGATCAGACACAATGAATATTATTTTTAGGGTGAATTTCACCAGGATTGTCAAATAAATAGGCCGTTATTCTCCACCTATAGGGTAACAGTCAAATATAGCGAATGAGCTTCAAGATGCAATCCACAAATTTTAGCAACCAATAGCTATGAAATATTGAAGACAAAGTATTGTCAAAGACATGACAGCTTGTCATTGAAACATTGCCAGCTTATTGAATATTAAGAAATTACACATAACTCAGCAAAAATTTAAAGAATTTTTAATTTTTGAATAAAATTCATGTCTTTTTTTACTATTGTGACTGTTTATTCATGTTTAGTCTATTCATATTAGACGCAAATACCCCTAGTTTGCGAAATACTTGTAAAGTCTGATTTTATTGCTGCAAGTTGTTCAAGGGGGTATTCAAGACATGGACGCATAAAATGGAAAACTTTTTATTCCATAACAAAGAATGAGAGAACGTGCTTTTTGGGATTCGATCGAAATTGTTGGTATGAACGAAAAAACATTTCATATAAGATTTTTAGGTATTTATGAGACCTACAAAATGAGACCACACGTAAAAAGATCCGAATAATAGCAAAAAAGTTATGGCCGAAAACCGAAGCAAACTGCAGGTTTTGGCACTTGTTGGTAATGCGACGATGGTTTCTCGCGAATATTTGGCATTCTTCAAATTCGTAGGATTCGTACTTCTAAATAACCACAACACAATTGGAGTAAATTGGTCAAGTAGTTTTTGAGAATTTCTAATTGTTTATCCCAAAACACCTGTGTTCCGGCCATCACTACTAGTTTATTGAGCAATATATACAGGGTTAATTTAAAGGACATTTTATAGCAAAATACACTAGTTTACCTGGCAAATATGAATCGCAAGCCATTCCGGAAGATAAATGTTATTTTTATGCAAACAGGATGGGTTACGTTTTCTCTTCTAAACAAATTCAAACATTTCGTATTTGTGAGTAATTCGCAACAAAAGATGATAGACACATCCGCTTTGACTTAAAATGTGAATATCGTAGCGCATTTGTTCAATTACTCACAAATACGAAATGTTTCAATTTGTTTAGAAGAAAAAAACGAAACCTTTGTTTTTCGCATAAAAATTATATTTATCTTTCGGAATTGTTTGTGATTCATATCTGCAAGGTAAACACGTGTATTTTGCTATTAAATGCTCTTTAAACAAACCCTGTATATTGCTCAATAAACTAGTAGTGATGGCCGGAAAACAGGTGTTTTGGGATAAACAATTAGAGATTCACAAAAAACTAATTGATCAATATAATCCAATTTTGTTGTTGTTATTCAGAAGTATGAATCCTACGGATTTGAAGAATTTCAACTAGTTGCGTGAAATTGTCGACGCATTACCAACAATTTCCAAAACCTGCATTTTGCCTGGTTTTTCGCCCATAACATTTTTGCTAGTAGTCGGATCTTTTCACGTGTAGGCACATTTTGTAGGTCTCACAAACACATCTTATGGAAAGTTTTTTCGTTTCTATCAACACCCGATTAAATCCCAAAAAAACACGTTTTCTCATCCTTTGTTGTCAAACAAGTTTTCCCACAAAAATTGGCGAACCAATTTTATGTGTCCATGTTTCAAATACTCCTTCGAACAACTTGCACCAATAAAACCAGACTATAAAATTACTTTGGGGAAATTTGCTAATATAATTAGACTAGTTTATTTTATTTTCTTCAATTAATATGCAATTTTACTTATCACCTACTGTGTGTTTTGCTTAGAAACCTCTTGCAGATAGCCATTAGACACCTGATTAATGACAAAGACTCTACCAAAATTTAATAGATATGGCTCGTTTTCAAATATTCATTCATTTACTTGCCGCTCATCAGTACCATTAT